GAGGCCCGGCCCGTCTCACTTCGCCTCACCTGCTGGCTGCGGCCTGGCAGGAGTCAGGGTGTTCGCGTCCAGCCCTGTGCGAAACTGGTCGTGAAATTTTCGCCTTGAACTGTACAGAGTAATTCCATCGCAGCTGAGTTTTCTGAGCTGATTTACATCAGGAGAGCTCGCACGGATGACGGCTTGAATGACGCCTTACCCCCGTGTTCAAGAAGATGGACTCTTGGTTTTTAACTGATCTGGGAGTTTGCTTTGTTACGTGCTTTGCTCCCGTAAGAGCGGTGTTAACAGAGAACGGTTGGCCTTAAGGGTTCTCCAGTATATGGCGCAGTCCCGCAAACAATTATGCACACATGTATAGTTGCTGCACATATTAAATTATGTGCTCTTTGAAGAATTTTACTGGTCATGTGTCTGTTCTTACTCAGATCTTAGCCTAATGCAAATTTGTATCATGAAGCTATATATATGCTGAGCACATATGCTCCGGTTTTACTGATTTTAGTAAAAGTTGCTCATATCGGTGGAATTTGGCTTACAGATAGAAAAATTTTCTTTAGGCAATGCTGCCTATCACGCAATAAGCACTGCTAAAACAGTGGTGATATTTAAGTGTATTTAAGCATTTGTCTAGTATTTGCTATATTTGTAATGGAGCACTGCAATACTTGTGGCAAATGTAAAGATTCTGACTTGTACACACCTGGGTTTTAAAGATAACTCAGTTACAGTGTAAACTAAAGTAATATAAGTAGCATCAAGTGCTTACTTATTTATGACTCTTATTCACTGAACCTGAATGCTATTCTTGGAACCGTTCAAACAGCTGATCTACATTCGAATTAGATAAAGAAGCTACTAAAGCCACAGATGTACCTGCTTCTATAGACTTTAATAACTATGCTAATATAAATCCATCTTTCTCGGGAAGAGTTCTTCTAAGTCCATATTACATTTTGCTTTTTGCCCTTTTCTCTATTCCTCTGTCTCTTTTAGAACCCTAGTCCTTCCTAACAGCTACAAAGCTTTGGACCATATTTAATTCATATGGGAGTCAATGAAAAGACAGCATCTACAGGGAGGATTACTTGAGGTTTGCCATGCAACTCTGCATATAGACAAGACCTTGCAATGACAGGTCTCTGTCAAGGGTTGACTTATGAGTACAATGCCAGGCATACTATTGTTGTCGACAAGTAAGTAACAGTAATCACTACAGTATTCCTTTTGGACTCTGCCAGTGCCGCTCCTTAATTAGCTGCAGCGCTTGCTCAAAGGCCATTTCTTCCCTTCCTGGATTCTCAGCCTGCTGAGAATTGGAATATTCTCAAATTATGTCCTTTCTCCATTACGGTAATGTCACTGCAGTTGTAGTCGTGTGCTTTTATCGACTCCCTGTCGTCATCTCCATCAGTCAGCAGGCTATAGGAACCTGCGTATGTGGAAGTGATGAAAATGAGACCAAGAGCTGCTTGGCCATTGCATTCCAGTGGCATTGCAGCTCAGATCATCCTTGTTCACCAGTGGCCACATCGAAAGAACACAGGAACTAATCTTGCGGAAGTTCTCATATTTGGCTTCTCCAGACAAATGAACATCCTTTCTCCCTCACCAAATGTTATCTTGGAAAACAAAAGAATACTGCTGTTCTTCATACTTGAGTGTGATCCTGCAAGGTGAATGGAGTACTCAATAATCATGGTATTATCAGGCATGATGCGTGTGCCACAGGGCTCCATGCTTCAGGAGATGTTACACCCAACCCAAGGCCCTATATTTTTTGTTGTTGGGGGAGGTGGTGGGGTTTTTTTTCCAGTAGCAGCTTATGGGAAGCACTGCTTATTTTGGGTTCATTCAAAGGTTGATGGAATTTAAAAAGACTAATTTATTTTCTGTATTCAGAGTTGAAAATGTCTGAAGACATACATGATGGCATCCCATCTGAAGAGAAATCTGAAATAACGGAAATGCCCAGCAATGATGTATTACCTCAAAAGTCAGTGCCACACCTTGTGGAATCTGGGATCTTGCCTGCCTCTTCACAAGATGAAGGAGGACAGGCCAGTCAGTGTGCTAGTAAGGGACAGGAAGGAGACATTTTTATTATTGAAAATCCTTTGACTGAAAAACTAATTGAAAGTCTGCCTTCCAATGGAGAGGTGACCGAAGACATGCCTGCTGAGTGCAATGAGACTGTAAGCCTTGATGCTGAACCTGAATCTGAGGAAACACTACATGAACAAAGCAGTCCAGTAAGTAAGATTTTCTTTTCCAGAAAAGCTGCTTTCCCTGCTTTATAAGGAGAACAGAATTTTGAAAATTTTAGGTAACGTTTGCAGTGGTTACTGCTTTCTTTTAATGTATATAAATCTCATGGGGAACACAATTAGGGAATTATATGCAGGGAACCTGTGTGGGAATAAATTAAATTGCAATGCCAAGCTTTTGGAAACTAGGAAGAGTTGGATTCATTTTCACCAATATGTTATAAATTAGGTCTTTTTACCCTGTATGCAATAAAACTGTGTCAGAGCCTAAGTCTTGTTAAGAATCTAGTCCAATAGAGACATAATACTCCAGTGATTTTGTTATCTGGTTATGTACTACTAATTTTCTGTACAGCTCCACTGCTTTGTTCAGTTCACAGAATGAACCTGGAAGAGGGCAGAACTTAAGCTGCGTCTGCAGTACTAAATCTTATACTTTCTAATTGTCAAATCATAGTCTTCACAACCTAAACAGTATATATTTCACAGGACTCGGTCAAACTGTGGCCCCTCTGTTCTAGGCCATTGGTTTTCAGTTTATGGTCCTTAGACTTCTGGGAGTCCTTTGAGTAATTGTAAGAAGCTTGTAGAAGAAAACTAAGAAAGACAAGTTTTTTACAGTCCACACAGCATTACATATACCTGACAGCTAAAAGAGGTGCACATCTCCACTGAAAAATTTTCAGGCATTCACAAACTGGGAAAGGTTGAAATAGCTTCCTTTTAGTCACTCCACCAGAAACAGTGACCTACCTCAAAAAGATTACAAGAGATGTATACAGTACACAGTGCAGAGCTGTCTTGGGATGTTTCACAATTAACTCAAAAAACAAAAACTGCAGAGGTGATACGTTAGTGGAGACTTTGTCAGGGCCACTAGTATCTTAGTATTATTTAAATATGGAGTACTGAAAATTGTTCAATACCACATATTAATGGAAAAGATGGGCAGCACCTCCTCTGGCTAGTGTTTTGATTGAGCTCTCTTGTTAGGAGTGCCTAAGTTTTAGATAATTTGAGGAACAGGTGACCTGAAGTAAGCTTTCTGTTCTGCTTTGTTGGGCACAGAAGACTGAGCTTCAGATAAGAACCAATCTGGCAGTGACCATGAGCATTTTATGATCCCATTGAGAATTTGTTGCATTTTTAGGAATGAAAGAACCTTTAAAAACTGATCTTTAGAACTCTGAACACAGAGGCAATAAAATCAATCATTATATTAAAGCTAAAGAAGGGCATATCTACCCAGGGATGCTATAAATGAAATAAGCTAGAATGACAGTTTAAAGCGACAGGTAATTCTTAACCAATTCTCCGTTTGGACACACTTCTTTCACATTAAAGTTGCAGTCATATGTTCACTGCAGAGATGTGCGCTAATCCCACCTTACTGGCATTAGCACCTTCCCAAACAGGTGTTACAATTCCATAGCTAGAAGTTACTGTACAACATTGGCATTGGAGCCTGCAGAACCTATTACAGGGCCCTTCAGCTCAAAGGCTGCAAGATTGGTTTAACCCACTGTGGAAGGCTGTTTGAATTAGCCTATCTGACTTTGTATTGAAACAGCCAAATGATCCGTTTCATAGACATCAAAGTGAGGTTGATGACCTTGATTTCCTCTTGAAGGGTAGAAGAGGTGAGGTGAGAACAGTAACATCCTGCAGTTTGTTAAGGATGATATTTTTCATGCATGGACTACTCTGCACAAAAGCATCCACCTGAGGAGGTGGTAGCAAAACTGTTGTCACTAGTCGTTCTGGGCTATTTGTGTGTCTACATGAGCCCTGACTCTTCAGAA